GAGTTTAAGTTTAGCATCACATAGACCACACCCATCATAATACCAACCATCTTTTATCTCTAGCTTCAATATCTTTTCTTTGATAACTAACTCACATTCCTTCATTAATTTAAAACATGACAAGTTAGGAAAATATTTTTGAAACACAAACTTATGTCAGAAAAAATTAATTTTAAATGTAGTTTATACAGTATTGATTCCTGCCAAGTTGCAAATTGGAATCCTTGTAGGGAATGACAGCAGATATGAGGGGCTAAAGTAATTGATATTCCCACCAACTACTTGAGAAAAGGCAATAGATGCCTTGGATAATTGTTGAATACTGATGAAAAGATGGAATGAATGTTAAAATTGAATTGGTTATGTGAGGAAAAAATATTTTTTAAATGGATCATATCCTTACATTTCAAACAAACTTTTAACCTAAGTAGTGTTTGGATTATAGTAGATCCTTGTTGTAGACCCATAATTAGATAGCTGTATATTCCCTGAACATTGATAAAATGAACTATGATGATTATCGCTTTAGTTGGGAGATAATAACTGAAACAAATATGTATATATACCTCTATAGAAGCCTACGATACACATTTAAATGACAACAACTATTGGAAGTTTAATGTCATCAGTCTTGTCATTAACAGCATTAATAATAGCATCACCAAAAAGAACAACGTCTATAAACCTTTCCCTAAAAATGAAGTTATAAAGAAGTTGATCAAGAGTTTTATACTATTCTTACTTATCGTTTAGTAATTAATGAAATTGAAAAATAGGAACAAACTCTTGATCAAATATTGACAAAGATAGCCTCTTCTTTTCTTCAAGCCCAGTCTTATCATCTTGAATGCTACCAAATCCTTGCAAGAAGCCTATAACATCTACATTGTCAAGTGAATAGAAAAATAATGATCAAATTTAGCATAAGCTATAACATTTATTCAATCATTATACATAAATGAATGTCGTCAAACTTACCAAAGAAAGCTTGTACTTTTTGTTTTTATTTGGTAGCACTTGCTATGGATCACTTTAGATATGGGAGTAAATTCAAAAGAATACACATGAATCATTGCCTCATGGTTTTGAACATAGGTGTTAGTATGGAAGTTAATCTTCCATTGATGATTTGAAGCTTTAAACTTCTCTAAGTTTGGTAACACTTCAAAGTTTTCTATCATGTAAACCTAACCCTCAACTAAAAGATCTTCAAAATGAGGGATGAGGTTCTTTAACTGAAGCCCAGCTTGAATCCTATCACCTTGCAAAATGGATCAACATATTATGTATTATAGATACTGAAAATATATGATAGTAAATCATATTGGTTGACTTGGATACTAATTTTAACAAGACCTTCTCATCTACAATAAGGTAAGATATGTTCCACACACACACACTAAAAGGAAGGTCCTTCTGCTTCAAATTCCACGAATGAATAATCCTTACAACAATGCACCATGTTTCTTGAGAATCACAAATGTTACTGATTAAGTCATAATCCTCACAAGCCATTCTGATTCTATCCCTTATAAGATTGAACTTTAAAAGTTGCAAAAAAGATGGAAATGGTAATAAGATGGCTAATATTTGGATCTAGAATATTGTGATACTTATGTTTAAGGAGAAGGTGTTATATATCTTAAATAGTAGAGGGAGGAGAATTACACCTCTTTAATGCAAGGAGAAGCATTAACTCCAACTATTCTCCTATTAGATATTTACAACAGCATTGGGAAATTAAAAATATTAAGGACAATTTAAAAAGAAATGTGAAAAGAGCATCATGGTTTTTTTTATTTTTATTCCATTCACATCAAGTTAATGCAAATATCAAAGAGCATTGAGAAAATTTGTAGATTCAGCACATTTAATCACATTAATCATGATATACAATATAGAATGATAAATGATAATAACATGTTTCAAGAATGAAAAAGTTGAGTTAAAGATGGTTGAAAATTTAATTTTCAAATTTTTAAATAATTAAAAGATAGGTTGACTAAAGGAACCACTTTTTTTGTTCAAATTGTGCACTCCATCAGAAACAGTAATAATGAATGGCATTGATGGAGATTAAAATGAGTGTGAAAAAATATAATAAGGAAAATGAAAAAATGTAATAAAAGTTAAAAATTACAAAACTACCAAAAATAAATTACAAAATTACCAAAAAGTTCTATCACCAATATGTAGTTCAAGAATTGAGAAATTACAAACTTACTTATTAAATTGTTTGGCAGTGTTTATTACCTATGTTCACAGCTTGGTTGAAAGCACAACCTTTCCATCTTGAATGTGAATTATAAATTGTTTCCAAGTATAATAAACAAACTTAGAATAAGATGTGATTAATTACAACACTGCATCGATGCAATTCTAACTTTTAATCTTACATTTCACCAATAACTTGATTAAATTTGGTTATCCAAATCTTGAGTTGTATTTGATTTTAAAACTTAGATGAAGCATGAAATTTTTTATGCAAGTAAATGATGCCATCGTAAACCCATGAAAAACAAACACAACAAAATTAAGATGATAATTAACTAAAATTCAAAATATAAAATTTGCATAAAGTCATTAAACACCATAATCATCTATAACATCTTAAACATATAAAAAACAACCCCAAACAAAACACAAACTAAATAATGTCTTAGTTATAATATATATCAAAGAAGAAATCTAACTAATGTAAACCTTAATCTCAATTCAAAATTTCTATTGACGTAAAAATGCTGGTATAATATCAGTCAATCAATCAACCACCAAGAACATGATGCTCCATCTGCTCTTCAATAGATCACCTCCTCTTTAAATTGTTCTTCAAATTTTCTTCAATAAGAAGATTCACCTAGAAGACAACCCTTGTTACATTGAAGTGGCTTCTTGTGACTTTATCTCCATCTTGAAAACAAAAACAATAGTAGAAAAGAATCAGAATTCAATGAATAAGGAAGAAGGAAATTGGAAGGGGAAAATTTTCAACTATCCCTATTAACATGATTTGGCTCGAAACTTCAAACTAACCATCATTCAATGCCATCCTCGCAAACCATGGAAAGCCCACCAAGTAGGGCCATCATGAAATTCACTATTGAGGCAGCTTCCCCTGTCAAAATGAAGAGAAGGATTTAAAACTAATGACATATAAAAAGTATCATGAATATCAAAAGGGAACAGATGATACTAGCCATCATGTATGACGAACACAAATTTCTAATGAACGAATCCTTCAAGAACGATCTTTTGCAAAGGGCTAATATCAATGATAAAACCAATAAAATCTACAACAAAGATTAACTTAGACACAAAGGCAATATAAGGTTATTTAAGAAAACAGAATCTAGTTTAGAAAATGAAAAACTCACAAATAACTACTTCGAAACCATTATTGGATCAGCTAGAAGAGGCAGTGAAAAGTGTCTGGTGGAAGGTGACGACACCATAACAAGGGAAGGTTGAAAATAGTTGTAGGGATGAACCATTATCATATATATTTGGTAGTGATAGGGTTGAAAGATCAAACCACTTTGAAATGACCAATGTTGTAAGTAATGCCTTCCAATAGAATAGGCTAAATTTGATGAATTAAATAAAGTTGATTGATTTTCAACATGATATGAGAGCCCTATTAAGGAAAATTAAAAAACAACATATGCATATAAAAAGGAAAACATACATAGAATAACATAAAAACAATTGAACAAATAAAGTAATGAGTGCAAGCGCATAGTAGAATATATAAAAAATATAAAAGAAGGCACATCAAACAAAACTTGAGAGTCATAAACGATAGCATTGAGAGAGTTAACTACATAACTGAATCTCATGTCATTCTCCTAGAACAAACGCACGAGACAAACATGTATCTCTTTGTTAATGATGCCTTCTTCAAGTAGTGTCAATGGAGTAAAACAATCAGAGTCCATCTATTGACATGAAGAAATATAGAATGTAAGAAGGAAAGGAACAAACAAAATGACTATTTACATACATGGGAAAAAAATTGCATACATTCACGAAGGGGAAACTTGAACAGAGAGAGTGTAGATCGATGGTAATATGGATGAAAAATGAGACAATTCATGTAGAGAAAATGAAGAGTTATGAATTGGAAGAATTTGATAAGGATGGAAACCACTTGGAAGGGCAACAATTTTAAGACTATCATTAATAAAAGCAGTTGGAAGAAGGTGCATCGATTGAATGATAAAGGCGAGAGATAAGCAAAAAGACATATAAAATATGCAACTTATACAATTTAAACCATAGTCTAAATGAATCCAATCAATAAGAGGAATGCAAAATTCCATCATGTCTAATCAAGTTCAACCAATAGCTAACCAATGGGATGTGTTTTATGACTTTTGTATAATAAGGTTGATTTGTGAGTTGTAGCATTTTGGAAAATATTTTTTGTTTTGTAGTATCTTGGCAATTACTTTTTTTTTATCTATAGCATGTTGGTAGTTTCTCCTTATTTTTTATATTGTACTCCTTTTGGTCCTATTTATAAGATAGAGAGAGAATTTTTTTAATCCTATTTATAAGTCACTTTATTGAATTTTCATTTTAAATTTTTTCATTTGACATCCATTAAATGCTATCAAGAGATAATATATTATTAAAATATATATATTTAATATAGGTAAAATTGAACAATTATTGAATTTTTAAATAGAGTTTAAGCTTTTTTATTTCGATAAAATATGTTAAAAGTGTTTTATAAATAAGATCAAATGAGTAAATTGTATTTTATATTATCTATAAATATATCATCTTTTATCCTAGTGTTACTTTTATCTTGTAAATTTTATATATTATATTATATATAAATATATGTTTTTTTTTTTTTTGCCAACTCTATATAAGTATATTACATATGAACAACACCGATATATTTAAATATTTTAATTTTTTATATATTTAATTTTTATCTTTTATTTATTGTTGTCCTAGGTAATATTTGTTTCATTTCCTTCTCCGACCCTCAATTCAGCGGCGCACTCCTTCCTGAGTTCCATCTCCACTCTCCAGATCTCCTTTGATCGTCTCTTCAGCCGCTTCCCCTTCGAAACTCCAGAGTCCAGACTAGCCGTTTTCCTTCAGCTGCTCCAGTCGTGATTGGGTAATTCCTCCGCCGTCGTTCCCCTCCGATCGTTCGAAGATCCTGTTTCCGTTCTCCTTCGTTCGAAGCTCCAGACTCGCCGTTCTCCTTGGTTCCTTCGTGCGATCTCTTCTTCAACTTCGTCTACTTCGATCTCGCGCTTTCATCTCCAGTCGCTGGTGCTCGTCCTTCAGGTTTATCCCCTTACACTGTTCTGCTTGTGCTCGCAGTTTTTGGCTTGTTCATTTGTTGGATTGTTGTCTTCTAGTGGCTGATTTGTATGGGTTTATCTTTTAATTTTACCTTGTTGCCTTGTTGCTCTGCTCTGCGATTATTTACATGTTATATATTGTGTTGGTGCTGATTTCCTTTGGCGTTGTTGTCCTTCTATCTTGTTTGTTTGTTGTATGGTATTGTTTCTGGCTTTTTTTATTGGAGAAAACAAAAGTAGGGAAAAGATAAGCTTGGTCCTCCATTCTTGAAGGGTGTAACTATATATTAGCGATCACAAGAATATAATCCCATTCTTCTGAATCAGCGTCATGCTAGGTCCTATGTATCAACAAAAAAGCTTTTAAACAAGTTCTATAATTGTGAAAATTGACGAAAAATGTGATCCATGTTTAAAAACCAATTGTTTTTTGCTTTCATAAAAAAGTCTAAATCAATATAAGAAATTTACGAGGTGGATCATTCATTTACTTTCCTCTAATATAAAATTAGTGTTAAACATAAATGTTAAATAAATAGTTTCTTTGAAACTGAAGTTGAAGGAATCATGAATCATTAAAGAAAAAAGAAAGTTAGTTTTCACACCATTCATAGGGTCACATTGAGGAACAGTTACAGCATTCAGTTATATTTTTGCCCTTGGTTGAGCATCTCCTTTATCTGAGTCACGCTTTAAGTCCTGTATATCGACTAATTAAGAAATTAAGCTCAACAAACAAGTTGTCTGACAGTTAAAAATTCGAAGAAAAATGTGAATAATGATCAGTTTCTTGGGTTTTTATCATCATTCATACAATCCATATGAGCTTGCCATGATCGAGTAATTGTATTCAAAAAATATTTAACTAATTTCTTGGTCTGTTATATTGTGAAAATCTATTTAAGAAGTGAACATTCATCCAGACATCAAACAAGTGTAGCTGCATAGTTCCTCTCAACCCATGCCAAAGCTTCTCTTATTAGCCATATATGAGTTTCTTATTTGATAAAAGCTCTCAAGTTGAACAATACCCTTATAACCATAAACTTTTGCAGATGCGAAGAATATGAGGTTGATCTTAGTAATCAATATTTTTACTCACATTCTAAACATTAAAATCCCACCATGGATCCTGGAGCTCACCAACGCCAGAGCATGCATTTAGACTCAAAAAAGTGGAGCTCACCTGCACCAAACCACGCATTTAGACTAAAATGGTGGGGCCAGAAGTACTTACAAATGGCCTACTATTTCATGTTGACAGTGGGGTTCAAATCTGCAACCTAATGGATTATGGGTCATTGAATTTGGAGGCATGTCCTAGTCCTGGTAAGCTCCTCATACCTAACTAACGTAAATTTTATTTTACAAAAAAAAAAAAACAATTTTCTAAGCCCAAGCTTGAAAAAATGACTTTTGTGGGTAGTTCGATGGACCTCACTCACATACCCAGCTCTATTTTTTTTTTTTTTTGGATTTGTTGGATTCCATTGGATACGTTGGATTTAATTTGTCATTTGTACTAGATTTGTGGGTTTGAATATTCCCTTTTCAATCTTATTCATGTTGATTGTTTTCTTATCTTCATCCTCTTCATTCATTTGCCTTCTATTTATACTATCTCTTCCCTTTTCTTCCTAGAATATCGCCTTTTAGAATTGTGCAAAGCTCAGAACAAACCCATGACAATTTGGGTCATTGGCTTGGCCCAGGAACTGACCCATGCATACCTCTAATGCATAACTATAATGGAGAACGCATTCATCTTTTTGTTCGTTTGAAGTTTGCTCTAAGTGCTTTCCAAAATGAAGAAAGGTCAAGATTAATGGTTGTCTGATTGTAATAGTTTAAAAAAAAAACAAAAAAGAAAAACAACAAGCCTTTATCCCACTAGGTGGGGTCGGCTACATGGATTGCAAGACGCCATTGTGCTCTATTATCTGATTGTAATGGTTTAAAGGAGAAAGATTTCCTCCTTTTTCTTTCTGCTTTGGTCATAAATTTCTAAAGAAATTAAGGAGTTTGTGATCAGGCGGATCACTCATTTACTTTGGCTCAATACAAAATTACTATAATCATAAATGCTCAGCCAATAGTCTATTTGAAATTGAAATTAAAAGAAGACGTGCGAATGGTTAAAGAAAAACGTAGTTCGTAGTATGAAAGGTATATAGGTTCAGTTGCTTTGATCATCCTTCACGCCATTAATAGGCTCAAGTTGAGGAACAGTTATATGGCTTGCATGATTTTTGCCTTTCTTGAAGAGTGTAACTGCATATTGGAGATCACGAAAATCTCATTCTCCTTTATCAGAGTCGTGCTTGAAGTTCTACGTATCAACAAAGAAGCTCAACAAGCAAGTTCTCTATGATTTTGAAAATTGATGAAAAATGTGAGCAATATCGAAAATATATTTAATTTCGTGGCCAAGTATTCTTCCCAAAAATCTATTTAAGAAACAGGTATCAAGACATGGAAGCAAGTGTAGCTTTATTCCCTCAATATATATCTCTCAGAGCATATAACTACAACAGAGATATTCACAAGCATCTCTCTTCATGTTATGTCTCTGAGATTTGATCTAACTTTTTGTTAGAGGTATCAAAGCTCTTTCTTGTTCATTGCAGGCTTGGTTATGGGTTTAAGTCACCAAATTATACGTGAAGGTGCTGAAGAAGTTGTTCATGAATCAGATATATTTTCTCACATTCTAAGCATTAAAACCATCTCATGAATCGATAGCTGACGGAGTTAGATATAATGGTCTCGCCGACAATGATATTCCGGGAGGCCTCCATAACCCGTTAAACAAGTAGAGGTTAAGAGGGGTGAGGTATGCCACCTTCAGCTCACCTGAAGACAAGGGAGCCTCTATTGATCACAGAAGAGAATATAATGAGATAAAGCACCAGAAATTAATATGATCTTCTTATTACCAAGTAATATCATCTTATATTATTTTTCACCATTTTGCTTCTGCAATTGCATAATCAAAACATATATATGTTTTTAATCTTGATTTTGCATGTGGATATATATATATATATATATATAAAATATCTGCAATATATATATATATAATATCTGCACATTCGCTTGTATATAATTAAGTGCTAATTGTAGTCTAATTATATATGTGCCAGGAATCAGAAGGTGTATATGAAAAAGCATTGCTTTTGATCATAGAAAAGCTCAGCCATAAGGAGATGGAAACAGAAAATCATTGGAGATTATTTTGTCAATGTCATTACCAGGACGAGACAAAGTTTAACTACCGTCAATATTTTTTTTTCAAATTTTATTTTTTAAAATTTTTCAAATGTTGAAGGATGTAACATGTAATTTATACCACGAAACATGCATTTTTATACATAGCAAAAAGCTTGATATGAGTTATATAAATTTTATGTATTGTGATAACTTGCTATGAATTAGATGGAGCTTTCATGGATGCATGTATGACCGTGGCCAAAACCGAGACTCTAAATGAAAATTATAATCATTTGAGTCTGAGGATCTCATTTGGGAAATAATCTTGGTTCAATATAGGCTTTAAATATTTTTCAAGCCTTTAAGTCTATTTAAAATATGAAGTATGTAGACTTTGAAACTTGCCAAAACTTTCGTACTTGTTGGTCTACTTGAAGCCTTCTTAAAGCTTTTGAGACTTAAATTTAGATGCCTTTTTAAAAGCCTATGTATGAAGTAGATATTTAAAAATGTTTCAGGTTAGGCAAGGCAAGGCCTATTGCAGGTTGAAGGTCTAGCTCCAACTTAAAAAAAAAAAAAAAAAAAAAGGCCTGTATATAGGCTCGGGTTATGTGCCTTTGTTATAGGTTTATACTTATTTGGCTAAAATCTGGTTATCCTATTCCCATCCTTGGATGAATTTCTCATATTTGTTATTTTATGCATTGAAGGTTTTTTTTTTTCTTCAATTTGATCCTTTGTCGATTTTGTATCAATGGAGGAGAAAATTGTATATTAAAAAAAAAAAAGTTTAAGATGGTATGGATATATGTATAAAGAAAGTCGTGGAGATGCCAAGGAGAAGGGTGGAACATGTTGTCTTAAATTATGTGAAAAGGGGGACTGAAAGACCAAATAAAAAACACGCTCAAGTTGTTGAATGAAATTTTTTAATTAACAATTGAAAAAAAATAAACTCAGAAATTGTTGAAATGATAAAAAAATCCCAATTAGTTTGCTTTTACCGTAAATGTCTAAATAAATGTATAAGAAATTTGTTTGGTGGGTAATTTATTTGCTACTTTAATCTAGTATGAACATGAGGATTTAGATATTTGAATTTTGATTTGAGCAAAATTTTCCATTTAATTTAAATATATAAAATATCTAAGGATTTGGATTTGACCAAATCAAAAAATATTTCTTGTTATAATTTTAAAAATAATTTTTAGTCTTTTAAGTTTATTTCAATTATTCATTTCACATATTTAATGAGTTATTGTTGTCGTTGCAATCCTCTGATTTCATTTTATTTTGAATTTGTTGGATTTATTTTCTCAATCCATGATAGATTTGTGGATTTTACTATTATATCCAATTGCTTTATATACATAACTTCCTTTCCTTTTCTTTGATCTTTAATTGCCTGTTAGAATTGTCCAACGTACTCATTACGCATGACAAACACAAGCATCTTCGCCTTTTGTCCGTTCGAAGTTTGCTTCAAGTGCCATTTAAAAAGAAAGCTAATGAAAGAAGTTGCCTAATGTCTAGCTGTGAAAATGAGGGGAAAATTATACATCAAAGGAATTGTTGAAACGATAAAAAATTCCCAATTATTTTGCTTTCACCATAAATGACTAAATAAATTTATAAGGAATATGTGAGGTAGGTGATTCATTTACTACTATAATCTAATATAAAATTACTATTAACCATAAATGTTTAATAATTAGTTGTCTACTTGAAACTGAATTGGAAGGAAATTAAATATAAATAATTAAAGGAAAAAAATAATGTTTATAATATGAAAATTAATATTCACATATACTTTCATCATCATTCATACCATTTATAGAGTTACATTAAAGAACAATTACAGCATTCAATTATACTTTTACCTTTCTTTGAGCAGGTAATTGCATTATTGGAGAGCATAAGACTCATGATCTCCTTTATTTGAGTCACGCTTTAAGTTTTGTATATAGAAAAATTTAAAAAGCTCAAAAAACAAGTTGCCTGATAGTGAAAAAAATTGAGGAAAAAATGTGAATAAAAAATACTCTGGGAATGCCATAATTTCATGTTTCTTGGGCTCATCATCATCATTCACACATTCCATATGAGCTTGCAATGAGCAGAATTATATTCAAAATATATTTAATTAATTCCTTGGCCCATTATATTCTTCCTGAAAATATATTTAAGGAGTGAAAATTCATCGAGACATGAAACAAGTGTAGCTTCATCTGTCAGTTTCTCTCAACCCATGCCAAAGCTTCTCTTCTTAGCCATATTCGAGTTTCTTGTTTAATGAAAGCTCTAGAAATATATAATACCCTTATAACCATAAACTTGTGTTCAGATGTGAAGAATATGAGTTTGGTGATCTCATTTAATGGTATTTTTACTCACATTCTAAACATTAAAAGCCTATCATGGATCACCACCTACTAGAACTGCATGTTGGAGTCAAACACATGATATCCAAGCAAGCCGTGATATATCAGAGGCAGAGATTGATTTGGGTGATCAGCTATGGCTTCTTTGTCATCCATTCACGGTTCATCCCATCGCTAGAGGATCCTCTTTACCAAAAATTTGCTTCTCCATCTTACCTAATAATTAATATACTTTACTTTGCCTTATCACTGTGTGTGTGTGTTTTCTTTCTCTTATAATTCATCCAATATGTGTAATTTGCAGTGTAAAAAATTTTGATAAGTTGGATCTCGGGAGATCATCAATACTAGACCATACATGTACACTCAAAGTGTTAGCAAAAGTACTTACAAATAGTCAACTAATAAAGTTGCCACATCAATGAGATTTGAATATATATATATAGATATATATATATATATATATATTCTAATAAGTAACAGTTCAAATTCTTACTATATGAGCAAACCGTTGTTGACTTTTTCAAATTTCTTTTAACGTATTGTTTGGAATGTAAGAGAAAAGTTGTTGCTTGTGAATTTTGATTAATATATGTGGCTTACTATAAAATTTATATTAGATATTGATATTATGTAGTTTTGAGGTGAGTCATGTTGGCCATGACTTAAATGTGTGATATAATTATAATTAATGCATATTTATATTGATTAATATAGGATATTTTAGTTCAATTTTTTATTTTCAGACATAATTATTATAGTTAATTAATTTTTTTAAATTATGTAATACAATTTTTTCTTTTATATGTAGAAACAGAGGGAGTATATGACTAACTATATCTGTATGGAATTCATTGTGCTCATCAGCCTGATGCAATTTGAATCATTCATTGAATGGTCTAAATTTAAAGAATTAATTTAATATTTTTATTTTATATTTTTTTAAAATAAAAATTTATAAAAATTATAAAAAAAAATAAATTTTTTATGATTAATCTAGTTTATATTTAATTTGGAGCGTCCAAGTTGACTATCCAAAAGTATTCTGTATTGTTCAAATTTAAAATTTTTAATTTATAAATTTTTTTAAAAAATTTATAGTTAAAACATTATATATTTTATTTTTTAATATTGTGTTCATTAAAATAAAAAAATAAAAACTTTAAATCTAAACCTTGCATATAAAAATTTAATATTAAATTTGAATTGTCCAGAATACATGTAAATAATCAATTAAAAAATTATAATATTAAATTAGATCTGTACTATTCAAATTGATTATGAATATATTTATAAAAAGTAAATTTTTATTTTAATAAATTTAAATTTAAAATTTAAAAAATCTGAGCCATCCAGATTTTTTTTGACTGATGAGTTGCCGAGCACCTAAAACGAATCCGTCTGTATGATCCCCATCTCAGATTAAGATCTGACACATTCTAAGGGAATAGAAACATGACTCACCTTGGCCGTTAGATCAACACAGAGACAATTTTCTTGAGGTAGAAACTTGATAACAGTATTTATAGCAAAACCACTTGAGCTTCCATAGCTTTTTTTTTTTTTTTGCTTTTTTTTGGCCAAAACTTGAGCTTATATAGCTACCATCGTAGTTGTTGAAGTTCGCGCCGCCCATACATCCTTATGTCAGTCCAAGGTTTCGCAGTTGGGCTGCTCCTCAGGATCTCTCGACATTCATTGAGAAACCACAGTTCGCGTGCTTTTTTCGGTTCCACCAGACGTGACATGATGGAACTTCCATAACCAGCATCAAAACTTCCCATGCCATTCAAATTGAGTTGGAACAATTTGACTTACAGGATATACGTATGTTAGATTTTTTTTTTTTTTTTGTTTATGAAGCTTTCTTGGATATATGGTAATGTCCAAATCTAAATGAGTGGCATCTGAGTGTTTTGGAAATCATCTTGAGGCTAATTAATACTTCATATTTTAACAAAATCTTAAAAAGGATATATATTTAATGGCTTCAATCCCAAAAGTTTAACATCTCGCATGACCAAATTAAATTAAATTCAAAAGGAACTATGGGTACCAATCTTTAATCGTGGCCAACATTATTCTCGGTGGATTAAAAAAATGGCACACAAGTGAGTGAAGGTAAAATATAAGAAATGAAACAATTAAAAATCAAAGTGTCATTATGGGAAAAAAATCAAAGTGTTTTATACCAGGGAGATTAAAAAGTAAATCCCATCAAAATGGTAAATGGCAAATAAGTACCACAAAATGCACTAATTACTATGATATCCTTAGAAACTTATCTGACACATTTTTTTTACAAAATTACCTTTTTGACCTGAAGCAAAATAATAAAAAGCATAATTGTTAATATATAAATTGAAGTTATTAATATCAAAGGTGAAGTTGCCAATAGAGAAAATGTAGTTGTTAGTTTAGTTATGTAATAGCAAACAAATAGATTTCCTATATTAACAATTTTATATTATATTTGGATGTATGTGGATTTAGATTTAAATCAAATTCAATATTTAGGTAATTAAAAATGTGTGGATTTGAATTTGACTCAAATGGCCAAATCTAAATCTAAATCCAACCCCAATTCCTTTATAATTTTAAATCCTTTCTAAACTTCTATTATTTCAAATTTTCATGGAAGCCTCTCTTTTCTTTCATGTTTATTCGTTGACTTCACAACCTTCTTGACTTCAACATTGCTGCCTTTAACCGACTTCCACCAAGAATGAATCGCTAGCATTGACCGGGACTAGATGGCCACCTTTAACAAGGAGTATAATGCAAATGATGGTCAGAATCAGACGGCCAACTTTGATGGGGATTGGTTTGCCAGTGCCAATTGAGATCGAACTATGATGTTGACTTGGACAAAACCATTAATTTTAA